GGCGGGTAGTGGTGCTGTTTAGGTAGCAATATCCGGTTGATAATGATTGTTGATATGTCTAATGTATGAGCTAGTCCTTCAATGTTCGCAAACTGTCAACATGCCGAAATCTCCGGTGCACCACAATTTCCATTCTCAAATTCACGCGTGTGATTGCAGTACGACTGTTCCTCTTGTGCGTGATTCCTATTGCCCTGGCTATCGAAGACGTACACGACACCAACTTCACATGGCAATGCAAGGCGAACACGAAAATGGCCATGAGTCAGAGTAGGAAGCGCTCTCTCGATCGATATGTACCACTTGAGATGAAGGAAACAGCAGAACACACTGCAATATCAAGATCAATGTCAGTCCTGACAAAGGGTGCATCCTCTGGTATTCCCACCTCTACATATGAGCAAAGGTCTCTGAGGTATGCTTCGGATCACCAGATGTAGCGCACAGTACATGAATCACCCTCGTTCTGCTCCACGTCGCTAAGGTCAAATGCTAGCCTCTGACCTGACAGAGGGTTAAGTGGTCCTCGGATACTCTATGGGTTCAAGGAACCGTTGCCAAACTCGAGTAGGCGGTTTCTTCTGTGTAATCAGGCACCCAGTCCTTGCACATTAATACATTTTCGCTACTCTTTATCTTGTGCATCAGTCTAGCATCCCTATGAGCAATGTCTGGGGAGACGGCATTCGGCGCAGGTGAAAGAGGGAGCAGGCGGAGTGCCCGCCCTGCGTAACACCGATAGTGTTGACGCAGTGAATGCGAGTCGTATTCGAGCGGAGCCTGACCGTAATATCAAGCTCGCAGTGACGGAGATTGACTGTGCGCTTTTGTAGGGTTTGAGGCGGCAAGGCAGCGTGTTATAGCGAAGATTCACACTCACCACCAGGCTCGGACCGCTTTCTCGCAAGGTCGCAAAACATGTTTATCAGCGGCTTCCCAAGCTCGCAAACGACCAGGCAATTGCACTTAAACATTTTTTTTTGGCTGCAACTTGAATACCACCTCATCGATTACGGTTTGGAGAATCGCCTAGCACCATGGCGTTCCCACTGAATGTCTACCCGGTCATGTCTGAGATCACTGCGCTCCGTGAGACGGCCGAGAGGAATAGCGTGTCGTTTGCCCAAGATACAGACGTACTGCGCTCGCAATCGCATCGACGCCCGCTTGCCGACTCGCCAAATTTTCTAATCCCAAAAGGCAGTGTAGGCAAAGCCTGGAAGAAAGTTAAGAAGGGCTTCCGTCCAAGCGAGAGAAATCGAAAGACGGCGGGTATTTTGAGCACTGGAACGACATCTTCGAGAAAACTACTGAGCGCGAGTGACGCCGAAACGAGCTGCAGAACGGAGATGGCAGGAACTACTTACAGCGCCTGCACGTACTCGGACAATACCCATGCAGCCTCCAACCTGATCGTCAACCACAACGAAGACGAGCGTGTTGCAGGTAAAAGGCGAAGCACCGGGACAGAAAAGGAGGTTGATGGTAAGGGCGACGATTACAATGTCGAGACTTTGGACATGACCGTGGACGTCGGCTTGCCTCATGGCCTTACTATGGAGGCTGTGGTCGACCTACTTCAGTGGGGAGGTTTGAGCGACAATGACATCATCGCGCTATTTCCAATGCCTCCAAAAACAACGATAGAGGATTCGATAAAAGATGATGAAGGAAAGTCGGACAGGCCGAAGAGGAGGAGTGGTGGATTGGAGACATGCCCTGAGGAGGAGGAGGAGGAGGAGGAGGAGATGTGCACAACTGACTGCTCACTCGGATAGAGAGGCCAACAGGAACAGGCGTTGATTGTACGGAAGATGTATGGGATCACAGAACAGTAGACACGGTAGTGGAGTTGCGACATTGGCGTGTCACGGGTTGTTTGAGTAATCCCCCGGAGTGGCGATTAGTTCAACTGTATTTGAGCCTTGGGACGGGTAGCTTGTGGTCGTATCCGCTGAAGATGATATGCGTGGCCAATGCCATAGGTTGAAAGAATGACTAGTTACTGATTGATACTCTGAGGCGCATCATCAGCGTAACCAGTCATCAGCTTCCCGCACCAAAGCGTTCGCACGTCCGCTGTCCTCAGCTACAGCGGGGACCCAAACGTGGAGCAGGCGTGCTTGTGTGGAGCGCCGACGATTTCCGTAGCCACTTCGGCCCTCCTCGCACCACGCCATGGCCGCATCAAAACTTTTTCTCGCAATCTCCAGACAACCCGATACCGGTTCCCATGGTGCCTTCTGGGCCTGGGTGGGGATTTCTTCTGTCAGTGGAATGGAAGGAATTTTCGACGTGTCGTTAGGGTCGGACAGGGGTGAGTGGCGTTCTGGCTTGCTTCGGCTCTCGCTTGGGACTGCGACATGCTCACGCGGCGCCGTGAGAGCTGTGCGCAGTGCTTCTAACGTGGTCGAGCAAGTGTGGGATCAATGGATTGTGGGGAAGTGCAGGCAGATGCAGATGGTTGCTGGCATGGGCGTTGAGAGACGTATGGCTTGAAGCAAAGGAGATGTGGACCACTGGTGGGCAACAGAGTCGTGCCATGGTGTTCTTGTTCGAGATGGGCAAGCCCGCAGAGTGCCATGGCATGCACATAGTACGTCACCGCCGTATCGGCGCCTTTTCCATCAAGGTGCCGTCCACAAGCCCTGGTGCAGACCGACGACCGCTGACCACGACATGTCCAACACCTCCGACAAAGCCAGGGCTACAACAATGCTCCGCCATGCACAAGCAGCCATTGCCCAATCACCGCTTACACACCATCTTCCGACGAGTGAGCGCCGGTTGCGGTTGCGTAAGTCTGGAGCACGATGCGGTGCTGCACGGACACTGCCGACTCTAGCCGCGCCACCTGCGCGAACCCGCGATATCGTCGAAGGCCCGTGGATCAAACAGAAGATCGTCTGGCTGTATATATGGCGTCAAGCATTGTCATGGCCAGGTCACAAGACCCCAATCGCTCCTATTCCAACCACTTGGCAAGACCACGGAAGCCCCGGCCGTACCAGTCTCCCGCTTCACTACAAAGACCGCGGATTCCCTATCTTGGACTCTCTAACTTGGAACGCTACACACCACAGCGAAGACCACACACACTCTCACACTAAACATGCGATCAAGACTACAACAGATTCAACGCCTTGAGGGCTTCGCCATCCACCACACTCGCCGCACACTCACACAAACACCACGCCTCATACATTCCAGCTCACGGCGAGATGTCACTGTACCGACGTCATCCCCGGTCTCTACATCCTCGCAACTTCTCAACCTCGAAACCCCTCAGCGGCAAGCAAACACAAAAGCCGTCCTAGGCCGTCTGCCCACCTCAACGGTGCTCAGGTCATACCTCATCACCGCCATGTCCTCCTCGCCAGTACTTCTCACACTCTGCTTCAACATCCTACGGAAGATGCTCGACTCCAAGTCGTTCCTCATGAGCATTGAGAAGAACCCCATTCTCGAGACGGTGCTGAAGAAGACTTTCTACGCTCAGTTCTGTGTTGGCGAGAAGAAGGACGAGGTTGTTCGAAACACCGACTTTGCCCGGACACTGGGCTATGGCGGTATCCTCTTCGAGTACGCACTCGAGGTACTCGGCGGAAAGGCACCCACGGCTGAGGAGACGAAGAAGGAGATTGAGGTGTGGCGCAAGGGAATGTTACAGAGCGTTGATATGGCGAGAGAGGGCGACTTTGTTGGGCTCAAGTACGTTGATCATCATCCCCCAATTCCCTGACAGCCAGAACTAACAGGTGTCTAGATGGTCTGGTCTTGGTCGCCATGCCCTCAACCTACTTCAGAACCAAAAGGACGCCACCCCCGAGATGTGGGATGCCATTACCGCTGCCTGCGACGCCGCCGCGGCTAAGGGCGTCAGTCTCCTCCCCGGTGCTGAAGAAGAAGTCACCAACCTTGGTCTCGAGAAGTGGACCACCGCTCTCCAGAAGAAGTACAACACCCCGGAACAAGGTCGCGCTGTTCTCTACGTAACCTACCAATGCTACCTCCGCGATATCTCCAAGCGCATGGCCCAGCACCTCGAGAAGGCTTCCAAGGAAGGCTACATCGCCGGTGTGAAGCTCGTCCGCGGCGCATATCTGAGCTCCGAGCCCAAGGAACTCACCTTTGACACCAAAGAAGGCACAGACGAAAACTACGATGCTTGCGCCGATGCTGTCGTTCGCCAACAATGGACCGATAAGGTCCCTGCGCCAACTCCCGGCACACCTTTCCCACCCGTCAACGTTGTCCTGGCCACACACAACCTTCACTCCGTCCAACAGGCCATGAAGCTTCGCGCAGAGCAGATGCTCACCACCCCTGCCGATCAACTACCTCGCCTTACCTACGCACAGCTGCAAGGCATGGCAGACGAGATCTCGCAGTCGCTGGTCCAGGACCCAGTTATGAAGAAAGACACACAGGCCAAGGTCGTCAAGTGCATGACCTGGGGTACTACAACTGAGTGCCTCAATTTCCTCCTCCGCCGAGCGAGCGAGAACAAGGAGGCTGCGCTTCGCACGGAAGACACACGCAAGGCCATGGGTGCTGAGCTCAGGAGGCGAGTCAAGGGTTTCTTTGGTCTTGCGTAAATGGTTCGGCGGTATCTTTTAACTGTACATGTGTTCTTTGAGTAAATTGGCAGCATATCATTAGCATGGCGTTGGTTTTGAGGTTTTGCATCTTGCAGCACATCGAATCTTTGGAAAGGAGGTGCATTTAGCGTTTACGATTGACAGTAAGAAACTACATATGCATCTGCAATAACAATAACATGATAAGGTTCAACAATGCCGTCTAAGAGCGAGTTAGCTTCCTCGTGTGCATGCAGATTTTGCGACTAGTATCCACCACCCCGCCCTGCCCCTCCATGCACCTCGAAGACTTGAGTCTGGCCGTGTCCAATGTTTTTCACGCCTGGCATTGACGCATCCTGAACTTTTACTCAAGGATATCTAATAACACAAGACACGACTACTCAACGAACAACCAAAGCCTGGTTGGCCAAGTGGTAAGGCGTCGCACTTGTATGCAAGAATCAATTTCTTAATCGCAATGCGAAGATCGCTCGTTCGATTCGGGTACTAGGCAAACTTCCAGTTCTTTTTTTGCAAAATATCTTCTTTTTGCGGTTCGCCATCGCTGCCCTGCCCTGCCCTGTGTTCTACGTACGGGTGGTCGATGAACCATCTTTTTTTTAGGATCGATGAGCCACAAGACAGACGTCTGCATAAGCTGTAACCAGGTGAGTAATTTTCTCTGTCTACAGACTGGTTTTGAGATTGTAGAAGAGTGTCTGGTTATTGCATTGAGAGGTTCCAAAATGTGTCATTTATGAGAAGCGGGATGTATATAAGTGCATACATAGCTCAATATACTGATTGTTTTCAATCATACTCGTAAATCAGAAAGATTTGAGTGAGCCAGGGAGGGACAGGGCTGTGTTGAACACCATCGCAACCCAGTAGTACATCACCGCCATCATCTCGTGATTAGACTCTTAGCGCAATTCCACCACAATCAATGTAGTCCTAATTACAAACCAGCCTCCAAATTTCCCCTCGTACAATATCCGATATACCCATCATCAAAAAACCCTCCTCGGCATCTTGTCCCATCCATCCCCAGCACCGCCAAGCCCAACCTCACATGAAACACCTCCCTCAAACACCCTCCCAAACCACTCACGCAGCACCCTCCGCGCGTCAAACACAACGCCTCAACACCACTGGCTACACACACGCAGTACACGCTCGAAGAAGCCGGCGCCGAGCACGCGAAGCCGTCGAAGCTATGATGTGCAGCTAGGATTATGTGCTTGGCTGTATGAGCCAGTTTTGTCTTGTTCTCTCGAATGCATGAACTGTAAACGAGGGGACAAGGGGGGAGAAATGGATATACACCCTCCCATGCCCCCCCGTTGATTGCGACTTGTTGGTGATAACTGCGGTGCGGTAGAATTGATTTCAACTCGTTCACTTTGTTTTTTTTTCTAACTTATTCGATTCTTTTCTTCCAGGCTGGTCCCGATCTTTTCCACTCTTCATTCTATCTTAATAATCATCTTTGTGTATTGCTTCGACGATAAAGAGACGACATCTTTAGCTTGCCGACACCATGTACAAAATCATTGCATTCACCTCTTTGCTGGCGTTGACGAGCGCCCTTCCTCAGCGTAACCGCGGCGGACGACAAGGCGGCGGACGACAAGGCGGCGGACAAACGCAACAGCAACAAGCAACAGCTTTCCAGCAAGCCGCACAAGTACCCCAGGGGGTTTCGCAAGCACAGGACGGCTCTACGATCCTTGATGATACCGTCATGGTCAAGTACGTATACTATACTCTCAACTTCCTCACTTCCTCAAAAACACATCACACGACATGAGTGGCTTACAAGCTCCAGCAACCTACCTATCCGCTTCAAGATCTCCGCACCAGCAGACCAATTCCTCACCACATCAGGCGTCCCCGGCGCAGCCGCAACCTCCGCCAACGGCACCATGGGCGCAAACGTCCTTCTCCACGGCGACGGCGGACAATCCTTCTTCGACTTCCCCAACCAAAACATCCAGGCCAATACCATGGGCGTCGTACTTCTCGCGCCCGACGAGAACCTCTTCTGGGGCGGCGGCTCCGGTCTCGACCGCACAGACGGCGTTGCGCACGCACAAGCCGTGAGCGACTTTATCACTACCGAGATGCCCAAGATTGTCGCCATGGATGCATCGGCCGTTGTGTTCACCGGCGTCTCTGGGGGTAGTCTATTGATGTCGGGGTTCTTCATCCCAGCACAGATGCAGAACTTCCCAAACAGCGCCGTGGAGCTGAACTGTGGTGCTATGCCGCCGCAAGTGCAGTTCGCAGATGCGGCAACAGTTATGACCCAGACCAAGATTCACTATCAATCCACCACAGGGGAACTCGCCCTCCTTCAAGACGCCATCCCTCAGGCTATCGTCGCGTACGAACAGCTCGCTGCGGATGCAGGACTGTCCGCTGCCCAGGTCAACCAGTTGCAGACGGTGGACAACTCGCCTAATGGAGGCCACTGCGAGTTCGATGGCAAGGACTTTGTGTCCGGTGTGCAGACTATGCTAACGAGTTATTCGAATGTCATGCAAGGCGGAGACGGCACGGTCGCTGGCCTTGGTGCACCCAGCAATGGAGTCGTGACAACGGGTGTGGTAGGCAATGAGAACCTGCAGTTCGTTGCAGGGAGGAAGCGGAATGCGGCGTCGAAGAGCATGTTGCAGATGAGGTGGGCGCAAGCTGAGGTTGTGGAGGACACGGACTTCCAGCTCTTGGAGTGCGATCGCGCTTCGTGTGGTGATGAACCGAGGGCCTAAATTATTAGCAATACTAATACTACGCATGTGCGACTCCGTTGTCATCAAGCTTCAAGTATTGAGACTTCGATGCCTATTGTCAGTGTTCGAATCGCAGTTGTACCATCACCGTCATGACAAGGAAGACGCGGCATGGATTGTCGTAATGTTCATTTGACTGGTAGTGTGAAGGTGGTCCCATTGCTACTTGGTGCAATGTCTACTCCCATTTCCCTCACCCCGTAAATGCATTTTCGCCGTGCCCGTGGACCCATGAATGTTGCAGAAAGCCGGAAAAGAGACACCTCACATGACGACACCAGAGTTGGACGCAATACGCTATTGGCTGTCAGCACAGAGCTTGTATGGAATGTGGATTGACATACCGGCCACAGCTCAGCAGCCTCCTTTGCGACGGGTCCGGTGATGGCAGAGCCCTTCATTTCGCCCTTGGGGTTGACAATGACACCGGCGTTGTCCTCGAAGTAGAGGAACACACCGTCCGCTCGCCTCCAGGGCTTGCTCTGGCGGACAATGACGGCGGGCATAACCTTCTTCCTGAGCTCAGGCTTTCCCTTCTTGACGGTAGCCATAACCATGTCTCCGGCACCACCGGCGGGCAGGCGGTTGAGACGCGCACCAATGCCCTTGACGGAGATGATGTACAGGTTGCGGGCACCCGAGTTGTCGCAGCAGTTCATAACGGCGCCGCTGTGTTCCCATTAGCCTGCATTCCTTGCATTGAGTGTCCGTGATATCCCGCAATCGCGACCGAGGGCAATGTTCGAGGGCAGCGATCGCATCGCATCGGAGCAAACGTACACTGGCAGACCAAGCGTCATCTTCAGCTTGTTACCGGAGGTAGAACCACGACTGTACACTCATGTGTTAGCCAATCCATATCTCAAGACACATCCAGCTGCTCCTTTTGCTTCGGAGCGCAACGTACCCGCGCTTTCCAGACATGTCGAATGATTATCGGGGGATGTTTCGGTGGGTGGGTTTGGGTGCGTCGTCGCTGGGGAGTTGTCGTTGGGCGTGAAGTTCATCGAACTTTGGTGGGCGCCGACGAATTTCGAGACGCCTAAGCGAGTGTGCACTAGCGCCTGTAAGCGGACTAGCGCCTGTACCCACGAAATGCTCGGAGTGGGGGCGACGAACATCGACAGGGCCAACACCAACACCAACCTTGGAAGGCCATCAGCTGTCTTGAGAGAACAATTCACATCGCAATCAACAACACCAGAACCTCATAATTTCATAAATAATACTGGCCGTGAATGCGGCGCCTGCAGCAATCTTTCCGCCTTCTTACCGCTCTTGCCCACGGGCGAATGGAGAGTGACTATCGGGTCAGATTCTAATGATGAATCACGGGTGACTGCGATATCACCTACCGTGGACGTTTGCTTCTCGAGAAATACTACCAGTGAGCTGCTGTGATCATGTTCAAGCGCAGGGCGGGTTTGTTGCGGCTGTTAAAGCGCGTCTTGACCCCCTGACTACGGCATCAGAACGCTGAGGATTATTACCTCGCGCAGTGAAGCTCAGAAATTCTAGATTAGTTGCTGAAGTCACACTGAAATATATGGGTGCTACAGCAGATACGAATAAAGCGCGCCTGGTGCACTCAGGAGTGAATAGCAATCCTTTTTGCCAGTCTACCCAGGTTTGCCCACGCTTACGATACACAATCTGCAGTACCCATGACATCGATAGCAATCATAGACCCAATGACAAGTATAACTCCCTCTTTATATCTATTCTGTCACTCTCATTATCTCTACATGTCACATTGTCCCACGCGTACCAGCCTTCACCTCGGAGTTTCAGTACCGAAGAGCAAACGGGAACCGCTACCAGGCCCTCATGGCCTGATCATCTTGCGTAGGCCGCTCTCACTCCTGAAGATTCTGGCCGTTTGCTGCTGAAGAGGCGCGGTGAGGGCAATTACGACTCGCGCTCACTTTGACTTCGAGCTCTCTTCGAGGCATATATAAAGATGCCCCCGCCCCCAGCACTTTTTCTTCGTCTATATTCTCACTTCTTTCCATTGATTATTGGCCAAACCCCCAACTCAGGATCCCCACTGTCACTATTACAATTTCCGTAAGAGATATCGACTACATCTTCACGCCTTTCCTTTACATGCTTATCCATTCCCAGATCTACCTCGCTTCAGCATGTCAGGAACACCCAACACCTATGGCACGCCTCGACATGGCAGAGTCTCGTCACGAAGCGGGGTTCAATCAATTTCCCCATCTCAAGGTGGCGGTCCTCGAGGAGAGCAATTCCCGGGGCACCAGCCCACGCCAACTGTCACCTACGGACGGGATGACGTGCCTAGTGACCTTCAACGATGGAACGGACAATCAATGATCCCGTTCCTTCGCTGGGGCTTTACTGTCCGAGATGAGCGCGGTAATGCGCATCCAAACTATTCTTTTGATCCTGACGTCAACAACGCTATTAGGCTTTCTGAAACGATAGTAGGTGTTCGCCCACCCGCCAGCGACTGCGTAACGCTGGACTGACTTAACTTCCAGGATGATTTCGACCGAGATCCTCGCCTGGTCCATGAGCTGATACTCCGCATCGCCAATCCAGACTTGGGGCATCCCAGCATGGAGTGGATCCGTGCTAATCGGTCTCTCGTCGAGATCTTCCTGTATCGTCATCACAAGTTTCACGGGGGTCTGGTGCTGCCCCCGATGGCACCAGCAGTACAGGTCCTCCGTAACTACGAGGTCGCTGTAGCTCA